AGCCAAACAGAATACATGTATAAACAGTACTATATAAATTGCACGCAATGGAGAAATCACGTGCCGTAATAACAGCAGCTTACTCAGCTGGAATTATCATTCGCTGAAAAGACTTTTTCTGGGTGTTTTGTATTGAATTTATTTTCATTGATTTTTGACAAGTTGACTGTAAAATATAAGAAAAGGGTATATTCGCTGGATTTTATTTTAACTGAAACATTCCTTCAGCGAAAATAGCAAAAAAATGTTGCAAGCAAAAATAAAGTATTTTACAGTAATTAATTTATTCTGAGCATGCGCAGACGTTTTGTCAATGTTGCCGGGAGAGGCAATTTTTGATAAAATCGTGAAAAAGACCCACTTGGGATTTTCAGATCTGGAAAAAAAATTACGTGCATACTCGGAGGGGACATGTTCATCAACCTGCCAAGTTTCACTGATATCTGCTGTAGAATTTCTGAGAAAATGTTGGAGACGGAATTATGGACATAACCTGAATTAGTAGTCCTCTTTTCAGGCTGCGCCTGAACGGGGACTAACAAATGTCCCTTTGATTTGTACAGTTGCATTATTGAGTTTGGTTGGGATGGCATAGTTATGTTACCTTGGTAATACTCAACTAACTTTTGACAAGCAGATTTCTTAGATTAGGTGTTCTCCCATGAAAATTCTTCACAGTACCAGTCAATTTGCATAACAATAGAATATGTTAATCTTGTATTGTTTTCATTGTTGTGCTAAATTGGTTTTATTATTTATCATAAATTTACAGTTGGGAAGCTGTACTCTATAATGCCCTAGTAGAACCCTGGTGATTGTCTGTATAATAGGAGTGGGTTTTTTTTCCTAGTGTGGCATCTTCCAGAAGGGAGGAGTCGGAGTTGTGTTAGAGTCTGTTTTTTTATGTATTGAAGGAGTTGATCACAGGGAATGTTTTTGGTATGGTTAATTTATTCATTCACTATTCTCGACATGTACCCTAGATTAGTGAAAGTGTGGTATAAACTATATACCGTAGTGCTTTTTGTCACGTTCGACAGTGATGGAGCATATGATAGCATCTCAGTGTTTGGCTATTAACGATGGATCTCAGGATGTGGTCTGGCTAAAAACTTGCGCATGAAAGAACGTGTAATGATCAGTTGTTTGTTGTTTTATTTTTAGTTTTTTTTTGGTATGCAACTGACCATCAATGATTTTCACTCTGATGTCAAGAAAGTTAATTTCCCTTG